TTTTCATTTTATAGAACATTTAGTATTGTTAAGATCTGACTTTTTTCCTGAGTGATACATAGGTGCAGTGTAATTGCTGTTAAAATCCCAGTTTCTTGTTCTGTAACAATTGACAAATTGATCTTAAAAATCCTACAGCAATTCAGAGGACCCCAAATAGCCAAAATGATCTTGCAAATGAAGAACAAAATTGAAGAACTCAATCTTCTTGATTTCAAAATTGAGTACAAATCAGGGGCTGGGGTTGTAGCTCAGTGGTAGAGTGCTCATCTAGCACATGCGAGACCCTGGGTTCGATCCTCTGTACCACATAAAAATAAATAAAATAAAGGTATTAAAAAATTGAGCATAAATCAATAGTAATCTATATTAGTAGCAGCATAAGGATGCACATAAAGATCAATTGAATAAAACTGAGAGTCCAGAAATAAGCCTTTGCAATGATTGCTGATTGGCTTTTTTTTTTTTTTTTTTAAATAAGAATGCCAAGACATTTTCAATGGGGAAAGAATCTCTTTCAACAAATGATGCTGGGACAACTAAATATCTACGTACATTAGCATGAAGTTGGGCTTTTATCTCACTTCACCTTTTATATAGAAACAAACTAAAAATGTATAAAGACCTACACATAAGATTCAAGACTTTAAACTTTTAGTAGAAAGCAGGAATAAGTCTTTGTGACTATGGGCTAGGAAGTGCTTACTTAGATAAGACACCTAAAGTGCAAGCAGCAAAAATAAAAATAGAAAAATTAGATTTTATCAAAATAAAAACTTGTGTGCTGCAAAAGGTTACTAGGAACAAGGTGAAAAGAGCAACCCATGGCAGGAAATATTTGTAAATCATATATTTGATGAGCAACTTGTGTCTATAATATATTGAGTACTCTTAAAATTCAACAATATCAAAGACCAGTAATACAGTTTAAGACTGGGCGGTGTATTTGAATAGACAAATGGCCAGTAAACGCATGAAAAGATGCTACCTGTTATTAGTGTCATTGCTTCCACTATAGGCTTTCATCTTCTGTTTCTCCCTGCCCTCTAAAGCATGTGTTTGTTGTCCATGTGTGTAGTACCATCAGTAGGTAGGATTATAACTTGTTAAATATGTCTGTGTATCTTAAGGTACAGATACTTTTTAGGGAAAGGCTTGGTGGTTAGGAATGTAGTTAAAGAGCATTTCACAGAAGACTGGATGGATGTAGAAAACACAGTTTTCCCTTTTCTGCCAAATATCACTTGTAGCCAGGTAGGAGAAGCTACTATCTTATAACGGAATATTTGGTTTTCTTACATCTTTTCTTAGCATCTAGCACAATGCTATGCTGTAGCCAGTAAGCTGTCATTAAATCAACGACTAAAGTAGAGGCTAGAACTGTGGTAGCGCCCAGAGGCTTTTGGCAGTAACAGCCCCATCCCTTCATGATTAATATCCACTGGATGCTTGACTATTTGAGAGTGACAAAAGTGGCAACAAACTCTCCTGCTATCAGTTCTGAGAGCACAAATAAATAAACATTATTTTAAAGTGCAATTGAGGAAACTTATGTTCTAAAGAACAATAGGGTACATATAGCTTTAAAATCGAGGCAAATAAATCTCACATCTGTGTGCTGGGGAGAGTAAAGTGACAGTGGCATTCACAGACTGCTATATTTCTTCTCTGGAATGTGAATTGGCATTGTGTGTCAAGATTCCTAATGTACATGCTCTTTGGCCCTGGCCTAAGTAGATAATCGAATAAATAACCAATAATAAATATATACAACACTGGAAAAGTAATATGTGTAGTCTGTCTCAATAATTTTTAAAATTTTCTGATGTATAATTATGATAAATATTAACATCAAATTTCCTCATTTTGCTAATTGTACCATGCTGTGGCAAATAAATTTGGTATGTCATCAGAATAGAATACCGTAAAGTGATCCCCCTCCTCCCCATGAAGGGAATAAAGCTCAGAGTTTTGTGTATGTGGTGCAGGCACTCTGCTACTGAGCTACACCCCCAACTCTGAACTTTTTCATCTTGTGAAATTAAAAATTTATTCTCATTAAACAGTAATTTCCCCTGCCCCTGGCAAATTTTTATATTTATGATTTTGATTACTTTACACCATTATCTGAGTGAAATTATATTTGTCCTTTTGTGACTGGCCCATTTCACTTGGTGTAGTGTCATTGAGGTTCATCTACGTTGTAGTGTGGGATAGGATTCTTTAAGTCTGCGTAATATTCTTCTATGTATGGGCACCACGTTTTCTTCACTTGGCAGTTGACGGATCCTTGGGTTGCTTCTATCTTTTGGCTCTGTGAATAAAACAGTTAAGCAAGTGGGTGTTTAGGTAATTGTTTGAGTCCCTGCTTTCTCTTCTTTTGGTATATACCCTAAAGTAGAATTTCTAATATCATATAAAAATTCTGTTTAGTTTTTTTGGAAACTGCCATATTGTTTTCCTCAGTGACTGGCCCATTTTACATTATTTTTCTCTTAATTCCAAACTTAAAGGTTACAAGACTAGTATAAGGAATTCTTTATACCCTT